TACATGCATGACAGAAAACATGACCTACTGTGACAAACACGTATCATCACGGAAGTGTATTTTTTTGCGTGGATGGCCATGGTGGGATAGACAAGGTTGCTTCTTCATGGACCCTTCGTGGGTGGAGCCCTTCGTGGACTCGCACAGCCATTACCCTTCGTGGGTTGAAGTCTCCATCAACGTGGATGTACGATAGCACCACCTATCAGAACCACGCCAAAAATCTCGGTGTCTACATTATGTTTGCTCCCTTCAAACTCCTCCCTTTACCTTCATATGCAAATGATTTACATTCCGCTGCTATACTCTTAGAATTGCATGTGTAGGTTGATTGCTTGACTTGTGAGAAGTTGCTAAAATCTGCCAAGACTTAAAATTGGGAAAAGGCTAGTTTTTTATTTGGTCAAGTAGTCTAATCACCCCCCTCTAGACATACTTTCGATCCTACACTATTCCAGTCCAGTCTGATCTCGGTCTGGTCAGTAGGGTTTCGGTCATGACTGCCGGTAGGCGTGGTGGTGCTGGTGGTGGCTCGGTGTGGTGGTGTTGGTCATCTCTCATGGTGGTGTTGGTCGGGTGAGGTCATGTGGCTTCTTCTGCGAGGTGCCACGGTGGTGGCGGTGTGAACAAGCAAGGACGATGTGCCCCATTCCGGTGGGCTGAGCTGCAGGTGTGCAACAATTCAAATGTCCTTGGAGGCGTAGTTCTAGTGTTCAGTACCTCGCCCTCTCTCAGTTGAACAGTTGTCTTCGGGCGAAAGCCTAGGTCTAGTTCCGGGTCGGCGATGGGGCATCCTCGACATCGTTCCTCTTTTGGGAGTATTGTTTGGATACATGGCTTGGAGGTCCTAGTTTGCATTCCTATGGTGCTCGTCGATGTTCTGAATTTGGTCATTAGGGGCGATATGTACGCCATTGCAGGTGACTCATGGACGATGGCTTTCTCTGGGTAGTTCGAGTCCTGCCATCCACCTACCACCTCTTTTAGGAAATCAAGGGTGGTTGGTGCATCATCGAGGAGAGTTCTTTTGGAGGTGTTCGACGTTGGTTGGGATGCGACTCTGTTGGTCAGTTCAAGGCATACCCTTTTGCATTGAAGTTGTATTTGTGCGTTCGAGTTGGTGTGGTGTTTGCTTCTCACCGATCTATGGTGGAAGCTTGCCTAAGTTCTTGTATTTTTACCCTATGCCTTCTATAAAGCTATGGCACACAATTTGCATGCCCTTGGAAAAATTAGTTGGCCTTGAAGGTTGCGAGGTTCAAGTTTGAGAACTTTTGGACCTCTCTCTCGGATTGCAGTGATGTGGTGCGACGAGCTGGGAATGAGCACACCGGCCACACCGAACCCTACCAAATATTGTACCACAAGCTTAAAAGACGGGGCTTCGCTTATCCGAGTGCAGTGGAGGGCTCTTCTCCAAAGAAAAGATCCACCTCCATGCCACCCTTTTGGTTATCCTCCACCTTGACTTGGCCCAGGAGGACCATCGACTTTTTCTAGAAGAGCATGATCTTAGAGAAAGGCTCAAGAGGAGAGTTGTTAGCTTGGCCGTTCTTGAGAGGACAAGAAAAATGCATTGTGCCTAAATAACTTGAAAGAAGATGATGAAAACACAAAATTCTTCCACCGCCAGATTAATGCTAGAAGAAGGAAGAACCATACCCATAGGCTTAACACACAACCATGGTTGGGTCACAGAGCATGACCAAAAGGAAGAAATCCTTCATGACCACTTCTCCGATGCGATGTGAAAAGGAAGCACAAGATCCATGGACTCAAATTGGAATGATCTAAACCTTGAGGGCCATGATTTGTGAGACCTTGAGGACCTCTTTACCTAGAAGGAGGTGAGGGATGCC